GCAGAGTACTAAGAGATGCTTGCTGGACCTTCATCTGTTGTATTCTAAAATGAAGCAATGGACCGCCATTGTCCCACCCCCAAATGCAGTCATACAGAGCTGGACACCAGAGGAGATGTGATTGAGGTGGATGGTATGGCCAGTATATTAAATATTGCGAGAAACGCAATGCATGTCAAAGAATAAATTATAATTTAAGGGAAGTATTTTGCAGTTCATTTAATATTTTGTAAATAGTCAGACTTCACATGCAGTTGTTTTATTCATTTCTGGGTTGTGGGCATCACTGGCTAGGCCAGAATTTATTGCCCATCCCAAATTGTTGAGAGCCAACCACATTACTGTGGTCTGGCATCACATTTAGCCAGACTAGGGTAAGGATGTCAGATTTCCTTCCGAAAGGATCAAGATGAGTTTTAACAACAACTGAGAGTGGTTGCCATTGCTTTAGACTGGCTTTTTATTCAGATTTTTTTCATTCAATTATCATCATCTGCCATGGTGGGATTGAAAGCTACGTCCTCAGAAAATTTCTGTTTTTGTTTCCTCAAAACATTAGCTTGGGGTTGTTGATTACTAGCCCAGTGACGTTACCATCACATCATCACCTCCCTCGATAGTTGTGGTTTTTAAATTATTTTCATGTTTCAACTGCAGTCACCATTTAAGATAAAATTATTGTGCTGCAAATAGCTTTCCTGCCATTGTGTCAGCAGGAAAATGGAACATTGATTATTATGGATGAGAATTATTTCCTTTTCTTTGCTAAAGTAATTTTCTCCAGCTTGCAGACCTGTTTTTCAAGAAATCTTCTTGCTTTGGGTATTTGCCAAGAGTTTCTTCATATGTAATAGGGACAACACAGATCATATCACACTGGGGGTACTCTTGGGCAGCTCCTAGGATATGGTTGTTGAATAGCACAGAAAGAGGTATAGAACAGGTCACCAGGTTATGCAGGAATTGTTGCAGAATTCCTACAGTGCAGAAAGAGGCCATTTGGCTATCAGGTCTGCACGGACTCTCCGAAAAGCATCCCACCCAGTCCCCACACCGTATCCTTAACCTTGCATTTCCTATGGCTAATCCACCTAGCCTGCATATCCCTGTACACTACAGGGCAATTTAGCATGGCCAATCCACCTAACCTGCACATCTTTGGACTGTCGGAAGAAATTGAAGCACCCAGCAGAAACCCACACAGACACGGCGAGGACATGAAAACTCCACACAGACAGTCGTCCAAGATTGTAGTCAAACCTGAGTACCTAGCGCTGTGAGGGAGCAGTGCTAACCACTGAGCCACTGTGCTGCCCCGATTTTGTATGTATGGATGAGCAGTGAAAGCAAAGTTGATTTGAATAAAAGAAAAACTGAAGATGTTGGAAATCTAAAGAAAACAAGAATCCTTCATGATTCTTTATACAAATTTGAACTATTTCTATTTCCATATTTTCTATTTTTTTTAATTAATTGAAATTCTCAAACTGATGGTAATTGAACTCATAGTCTGTCAATTAAAATTCCAAAATTCTGCATTACTTGTCCAGTAACATAGAATCATAGAATCCCCTAGTGTGGAAACAGGCCATTCAGCCCATCGAGTCCACAGCGACCTTCCAAAGAGCATCCGACCCAGACCCACCCCCTACCCTAACCCTGTAACCTTGCATTTCTTTTGGCTAATCCACCTAGCTTGTACATCCCTAGACACTATGGGCAATTCAGCATGGCCAAGCCACCTAATCTACTGGACTGTGGGAGGAAATTAGAGCACCCAGAGGAGACCCATGCAAACATGGGGAGAATGTGCTAACTCCACACAGACAGTTGCTCAAGTGTGGAATCAAACCTGGGTCCCTGGTGCTGTGAGGCAGCAGTGCTGACCACTGAGCCACCATGCTGCCCGGTGCATTAACCACTGCATTGCTCTAATCATAAATCACTTGAACAACCCTCACTTTTCTTTTTTGTAAAATGCATACTGATTTTGAAAACCATGTGTTCGTCTAATAATCATGTTTGTATAATTCTGATAATCTTTGTTATACCATCTATTTTTATCGGATTTGTTTAAATAACTAGGACTGGTAATATCTCTTGGTGGGTGCTCCTGGAAGAGTTTTTGAATAAATGTAAATAGTGACGCTAAATCATTCTTTTGTACTGATGACAATTCAGCTTATTAGGAGTCAGGCTCAGCCACTCACTCAATTCATTATCCAGTGACCATACCACCTACACTTATTGTATTATAAAGAAAGAACTGTCAATATTAATCATAATCTTATATATCTATTTGATAATTACAATGGTTCCTGAGGGTTAGGCTATAATTCAAATTTTAAAAAACACGAACCATTTAGGGAAACAGAACTTCAGTTGTACTGACTTTTTCCAGGGAATAAATTTTAAACTGTAAAATGAATGTTCGCTGATTACTTGTGCAGCATAGTTAGTATGGCACACTGGTTTGTTAGGTTTCAAGGGGTAAATTTGAACATTGGAGCTCACCATAAGCATTATTTTTTGATCCCCATTTGTTCCTCTTTATATTGGAAAGATAAATCAATCAGCATGTATAAAATGTCAGCCAGTCTGCTACTGCCTGCATTGCTGAAGTTAAATTTTACCTCTATTTTACCAATGTGGCTCAGTGGCAAAGATGACCACTTTTATGATGGCCAACTAGCAGAACATGGTCACTTGCTTGTGATGGGAATGAGATGACTGCATCTTGTCCCTCCTAACTTTACAAATGTAATTTAAAACTTGCCTTTTTGGTGCCTGTTGTGCTGATCTGCCAGTAAAACTGGTTGGAGAGTACATGTTACTCACTCTGCTCCATTTTATATCAAACTGTGAGAAGCAACATATTACAATGAACTCCCTCACTTGTCACCGCCTGAAGTGGGTGCCCCATAGCCTGAGCACTTGTCCAGAAATATTTAAATTCCCTTGACCCTGAGAAGTGAGTAGGGGATGAGAAGAAGAAACAGTGGAAAGTTGCAATTTCAGTCATTCATTCCACTGACAGAGCGTAGCCAGAGGAAATTCAGGGCTTTTAATACCAACAAATTACTAACACGAGAAACAGAACTTACTACCCATTTTGATGTTGAATTGCTTTTAGTATAGGACAAGTGAGTTTTACTTTTACACAGAGTAGAAAATGTAGATGCCAAAAAGATGTCTAAGGATCAGACCTATTCACAGGTTATCGTATGTTAAAATTATTTTGAACTGGCGATAAGAATTGTCTACTGATAATGTTAGTACAGAAATGCTTTATATGCTGCCACTCACAAAGCAATGTAATGATAAATCAAAAATATCTTCATTATGTAGCTGAGTAAAAAAAATCACAAGGTTAAAAACTGTGCTGGAATTGTGTCTCGTAAAGATGGTGGTGAAAAATACATTCTTAATATGTACCTCTAATTGAGGAAACCTGCTTTATGTGATTTAATTATCATAATTTGAAAATTACTGAAATGTTCCAGGTTGTACTAACATTGTGCTGAAATGCTGTTTGCAAAAGACAACATGGAATGTTCCAGAAGATAAACAATTTACCACAGGTGGCTTTTTTATACTGTAAAAAATATTTATGGGCATAGACTTAGATTTTCTCTTTAATCCTTCACTCCTAGAGATTGAAACCGAGGGCATTTATTCAATACTCTCATTTGACCCTTTCGTCTCTACCCACAATCTCAGCCTTAGCCTCCTTCACCACCTGACCTTAATCTAAGCTATTGAATCAGAAATAATTGTTTCATCAATAAAGTATCGTGATTGGAAATTAAGATATATGTTGAAGTATCAGCTGATTAAAACTGTTCCGCTCAGGAGGTGTAACATTGAACTGTCACTTCCATGTTATGTATTTTAACAAAAATGAATCAACACACTGGTTTATATTCTGACTTCAAACTCATTCATAGCTCAGGCATGCTGTATTCCCAAGTGCTTTATCCTGCATTATTGCTTTTCTTCAAAAGACTGGTCTCACCAAGTTACCAATCTGTTGCATTCAGTATAGTCATGGCAATATGAACTTTTACTTGAACAATTCTGGTATTTTGGTCATGACAAAAAATGTAGGTCCCTAATATAACTTTTCTTTTAGGAAGGCATATGTCCTGCAAACAATATTGAATGCATTCAGAACAATTTATAAATTATGTTAATTATATTGGAGATGTTTGTTTTAAAATACAATGTTTTAATCAAATAGAATTTTGTTGCAAAAGTACAAAGGTACAGACTGGAAAAAATTGAATTCTCAACCTTTTTTTAATGACATATTACTATTAGCTGCTGCTGAAATCCAAAGATCATGGCACCTTCGAATTGTTTTTTATAGAAAGGACAATTTGTTCCTCCTAAGACAAGTTTAACAGTTTGAAAAAGGCAGGTGGATACTGCTGTTCAGTATTGTAAAGACTGAAGTCTTCCAAAATTAATGCGCTCTTAAATTTGGTACCTAATGTTACACAAATCAGAAAAGTCCCAGCTTCAGCTTCCAGTCTATGCTGAGTTAGTGAATCTCAGGACAACATTAAGATGTTAGCACTGACCACACTGCAATTTGAGTTAGGGATAGGAAAAAAAAAAGTTTTCAGTTCAGATCAGTAATTATATGGCTACTAGTGGAAAAATTGCATGGACATCAAAGGGGAACGGGATTGAGTTTGACTAGAATGTCAAAAGAGCTATCAGATTTCCAGTATTCAGTCACTTAGTTCATAGTTAGCATAGGGTGTGTAGAACGATGGAGCTATGCCCAAGGTGCTTCAACACCATCAGAAGGGCAAAGAGTGTAGCAGGAATTGAAAAAAATATGGCTTGTGTATAGCTTCACTAGTGTGAAGTTCAACAGCAGAAAAAAGTTTACATCGTGTGGTTAAAGTGGAAACCAAGTATCCATGAGATGAAATGACTGATGATCCATTTACATCTACAGGATAGATACTTATCTTAATTTTTCCTTCTAGCTGGGGAAGATGCTAAGAAGTCCCTTCATGAAGTTTGTGATGCATGCGGCATCCTTCATCATCTTTCTGTGCTTACTAGTATTTAATGCCTCTGATAGATTTGAAGGCATCAAAACCTTACCCAATGTCACTGTTACCGATTACCCTAAACAAGTCTTCAGAATGAAAACTACTATGTTTACTTGGACAGAAATGCTAATTATGGTGTGGATACTGGGTAAGTAGTGTTATATCTGAGCTATGAATATAGAACTACTTCTCATCTTCTTTTAAAAACACTCTGTATACATTAAATGTTTAAAAAATTCTTTTGTAGGAATGATGTGGACTGAGTGTAAAGAAATCTGGACAGAAGGACCACGGGAATACATTTTCCAAATGTGGAATCTTTTAGATTTTGGAATGTTATCAATTTTTATTGCTGCATTTACAGCAAGATTTCTGGCATTTCTGGAAGCTTCTAAAGCACAGCAGTATGTAGATGAACATGTTGAGGAAAATGATCTATCACTTGTAACACTTCCACCGGAAGTTGAATATTACACTTATGGTAAGGTAACATTGTACAAGTAAAATTAATAAAACTGTATTTTTTTTTAATCTATGTAGTCATATTAAAGTAAGCTAGTAATATGAAACCTCTGAATTAACAATGTTAGTTATATGAATTGATATAGGGATGTTAATTGAACACACCACTAACTTGTTGTTGTTATTGTAGAATCCCTCCAGTGTGGAAACAGGCCCTTTGGCCCAACAAGTCCACACTGATCCTCAGAGCACCCACCCAAACCCATTCACCTCTAACCCACACATCCCTGAACACTATGGGCAATTTAGCATGGCCAATCCACCCAGCCTGCACATCTTTGGACTGTGGGAGGAAACCAGAGCACCTGGAGGAAACCCACAGAGACACCTGGAGAATGTGCAAACTCCACACAGACAGTTGCCCAAGGCTGGAATTGAACCTGGGTCCCTGGTGCTGTGAGGCAGCAGTGCTAACCACTGTGCAACCGTGCCACCCCGGCACTTTAACTACTTTAACAGTAGTTTGAATCAAACCCCAACCACATGCTTTAATATTTGACCAAGTCTTACAGCAGAAGTGACTTTAGGAGCCTGTTATTAGTTCAGTCCTGCAGAATCCATATCATTGTACAGTCCAAAGGAATTGCCTAGGAAATTGGAATTTTCACTGGGCAATCAAACTGCACCTCTGGAACCATCCAAAAGCTTCCATAAAAATCAGCGACTTCAGATGGTTCCATTAAATGAAGTAAAATAGTTACTCAGAAAAGAAATCAACTAATTCCTGAGTAAATTATTAAAGAAACTTCACACTTACCTTACTCGCAACCCCCAGATCCCTTATATCCACCAAACCCTGAACTGACAACCCCGAAGACACAATACTCCAAACCCCCATGACCCAACATTACGCTCCTACCCCATTGGCTAGGTGTGTTCCACCCCACCCGACTCAGGGACCCTAGGCTTGGTCTGGGACCAAACACATGTCCAACCCTCCCCTGCCAAAGACCAACATCTCTCCCAGAACCGGAAAACATCTCCCTTAATCATGGTAACCAAAGCCCCAAATCCAACACCCCTGCCCCAGTCCAGAACAGAAACCCCTCCATTGCCAGAGCCGACCCAACCCTTGAACATTTACACCACCTCCACCAGACTCAGTTCCCTGTCCCACCCCCACTATGACCATCAACCACAACCTGATCCAATGTACCTGTCACTGGCCCCTCTGCCTGTTGCACCAGACCCAACCCTACCGCTTGGCTTCACCAGACCTGACCCCACCCCCGACCATTTGCTGGACCGGAAAATCCCAAACCAGACACCCACCCTCTCCTCCTCCCCGGATCTGATTTCTTCAGCCCAACGTGACCTACCCTTAACATTTACCTGTACCTTTGCCACCTTGCACAGTGGTACCTTACACCCTCCCCACTGGCACCCTACCCATTTGGCGCCCTACTTACCTAGAACCATGTCCCTGATCACTTGACATCCTAACACTTGCCATTCTACTCCCTGCCAAGCTTGGTACCCTACTTACCTGACACTCCTCTAACCATTTGGCACCCAACACTCCCAGCACCCTGATGTCATATAGTTTGACAGCAGTTGCCAAAGTGGCTGTCAGCACCTTTAAATTTCAGAATGCAGCAGCTGATTGCTGTGAAACAAAGCATAGTTTGCCTTCCTCTGACAGTTCTATGCTAGAAAAGAACTATCTGAATGGAATTAGGCCTCAGCATTTCTAAGGGAGCCCTGAGCAGCATCTCCTCAGAAATGCAGAGCTCCACTTTTTACTGAAAAAGAAGGGCAGGTGGTGATTTCCATAGGAATGCAACTCATAAGAAAATCTGGTCCAATGTTTGGCACTAATTAATGCCTACTATGTCAGTAAACATGTACTTAGACTGGAACGGACAAAGGTTATCTTTCTTTGGCATGTTTAGTTTGCATTTAAATGAGACACTTGCATTCATATAGTGCCTTTCACAGCCACCAGATGTCTCCAAGTGCTTTACAGCCAATTTAGTACTTTTGAAGTTTAGGCACTTGTAAAAAAGAAATTGTAGCAGCCAGTCTGCTCACAACAAACTCCCATAAACAGCAATGTGTTAATGATTAGATAATTTGGGGTTTTTTGTGACATTGACTGAGGAATAATTACTGACCTGGACATCAGGGAATAATTCTCATGCAATATGATGGGTCATTAACCTACTGAAAAGGAAAACAATGCTTCAGCTTAATATCTCAGCTGAAACACAACATTTCTGACAATTAAACATTCCTTCAGTGTTGCATTAGGTTGACAGCCTTAATTTTTCCTCAGCTCAAGTCCTGGAGTGAATCTTGAACCCATAACCTTCTGACTTAAGAGGCCAGAGTTCTCATAGCACAACCTAATGGCATTCAATACATTTCAATTGTTAGGGAAACAGTGAGATTCATGAAACTGGTAATCGAAGATCGAAGACGGGAAAAGATTGTGGCTGTAAGAGCTGCTCCTTTTTTGAGGTATTTTCAGTGTTGAAGCTGATTTCCTCGAATTCTAGGAACACTAATTACTGTTTTATAAACTGTTGCATAGTTTTGGAACTTTGGGGAAAATAGATCAAAACAACAGCACCTTAAAAAGACGAAGGAAGACAAAGGCCGTGACCACATAGTAGGAAGTGACTCAATGGAGAAAGAAACCTATACTGCTGTCTGACCCAGCAGTGAATTTTCACAGCTACTACCTCTGCTGTTTGATTTCAAGTACCTCTGGACATCGGAGTTTGTCTAAGAAACAAAAACAAACAGCAAAATTCACAGCTGACCTTTGAGAAACCTCTGTGGGGAGATCACAGCAGGGGAACAGCTAAGTGGCTAGTTTTTTTTTGTAAATCTACAATAGTGAGTAGTGTGGATTCTTTTTGATTATGTGTTTTTATTGAGATCTGTCTCTTGATTAAACTTTAAAATTATGAAACATAGGTACTAAGTTAGTTTGGAGCGGTGTTTTTAGAGCAGTAAGACTGTGCTATTTTCTGGGTCTGTAGATTGTTAAGGTGCAAGGATGGCCTTTAATAGAGTGATGTGCTTGTTCCTGTTGGATGTGGGAGATTAGGGGGTGTTTCCATGTTACTGATGATTGTGTGCAGAAGTGTGTTCGGTTGTGAATCCTATCAGATTGCATGGACCGGTTGGAATGGCAGTTAGAGACAACAAGGAATTTACAGGAGCTAGCGGGTGTGATGGATGGCAGTTGCAGGAAGGGAGTTAAACTAAAGAAATAGATGGGTGAATGGGAGACCTCTAGGAAAGGTATGAGAGGGATGCAGGTAGTACTGGAGTTTTCTGTGGCTATCCCCATCTCAAACAAGTATGCTATTTTGAAAAATGTAGGGGATGATGGACATTCAGGGGAATGTAACACTGACAACCAGGTTTCTGGTACCGAGGCTGTCTCTAATGTAATGAGAAGTGTGCCAGGCTCCAAGCAGTCAATTGTCTAGTCAGAGGCACAGATAGACGATTCTGCAGCCAACAGTGAGACATCAGAATGGTGTGTTGCCTCCCTGGTGCCAGGATCAAGGATATCTCAGAGAGAGTGCAGGATATTCTCAAAGGCAAGAGGGACCAGCAGGAAGTTGTTGTATACAATGGAACTAATGATATAGGAAGCGATAAGGATGAGATTCTAATGAAAGAATATAGCAAGTTAAGCGGGAATTTAAAAAGGAGGTCCTTAAGAGTAGTAATATCTGGATTACTTCCGGTGCCACAAACTAGTGAGGGTAGGAATAGGAGGATAGAACAGATGAATGCGTGGCTGAGGAGCTGGTGCAGGGGAGAAGGATTCACATTTTTGGATCATTGGAATGTCTTCTGGGGAAGAAGTGACCTGTATAAGAACAACAGATTGCACCTGAATTGGAAGGGGACTAATGTACTGGTGGGGAGATTTACTAGAGCTGCTCAGGAGGATTTAAACTAGTAGGAATGGTGGGCAGGGAGGGGCTGACACCCAGGGTGATAGTGAGGAAAGAGAGCAGTCTGAGATTCATACAGTTGGGGAAAGGAGTAAGTCAAAGAGTCAGGGCAGGCAGGAGCAAAGCAGAGAACGAGGTTGGACTGATAAATTAAACTGCATTTATTTCAATGCAAGAGGCCTAACAGGTAAGGCAGATGAACTCAGGGCATGGTTGGAAATGGGACTGGGATGTCATAGCAATTACAGAGACATGGCTCAGGGATGAATAGGACTGGCAGCTTAATGTTCCAGGGCATAGATGCTTTAGGAAGGATAGAAAGGAGAGCAAGAGAGGAGGGGCAGTGGTGTTTTTGATTAGGGATAACGTTACTGCTGTACTTAGGGAGGATATTCCTGCAAATATGTCAAGGTAAGTTATTTGGGTGGAACTGAGAAATAAGAAAGGGATGATCATCTTATTGGGATTGTACTATAGACTCCCCAGTAGTCAGCAGGAAATTAAGAAACAAATTTGTAAGGAGGTATCTGTGAGAATAATAGGTTGGTTATGGTAGAGGATATTAATTTTCCAAACATAGACTGGGACTGTCATAGTGTTAAGGGCTTGGATGGAGAGGAATTTGTTAAGTGTGCACAAGAAAATTTTCTGATTCAATATGTGAATGTAGAGAAAGTGCAAAACTTGACCTACTTTTAGGAAATAAGACAGGGCTGGTGACTGAGGTGTCAGTGGGGACCACTTTGGGGCTAGTGCCCATAATTCTATTAGTTTTAAAATAATGATAGAAAAGGATAGACAGATATAAAAATTAAAGATCTAAAAATTACATTGAAGGAAGGCCAATTTTGACAGTATTAGGCAAGAACTTTCAAAAATTATTTGGGGGAAGATGTTCACAGGTAAAGGGACGCTGAGAATTGTGAAGCCATAACGAGAGTCCAGAGACAGTATGTTCCTGTTAGGGTGAAGGGCAAGCCTGATAGGTTTAGGTTACGCTGGATGATTAGAGAAATTCAGGCTTTGGTCAAGAAAAAGA